TATATATATATATATATATATATTCTTGGCAATGAGTCGATAGTTATAGTTGATGCATGTGTAATTGTAATATAGTATGATGATTGTAGCAACTACATATTAATTAGGCAGCTGGTTGAATCTTGGAAACAAATGGAATTCTACTTCACCAAATTCCCAACCAAGTTCAAAGTACCACAACTTCTTCAAGGTATAATCGTTTCAAGAATATGAATCCAATCCAAATTCTTACTGGTTTCTTTACGTAATTTTGGTCATATAATATAATAATAATATAATATATAATAGGTTCCTAGCTTAGCTATGATGCAATCATACATAACGCATTGATATGATACCCATTTTTGAAGATGTGTTTATATAAACAAATCTTATACTACATTGATACCATATATACTTGTTTTTATGATCATGCAAGCAATATATATATATATATATATATATATATATATATTATATACGAATAAAAACCCAAGTTTAGTTTGGAATTTTACTTTTGTTTCTAATTTAGAATAGTTTTCAATTTTACTTATGTTTCTAATTTGGAATAGTTTTTCAAACTATTTTTCTAACAAAAAGTAAACCAAACCAAACTGAACCAAACAAGCTCAATATGTCAACTGATTGTCTGGTTGGCTTCTAGGGCTGGGATGTATGCAAAATGTTCTTCTACATCATATGGTAGATTAGTTGTTTTATGTGAATACCTCTGAATTGTGAAAAAGTGTGTGTGAATATGTTTTGAGGGAGACCTAGCGTATCATAACTTTTTTACAGTCGTACCGCATCAACTTTGTGGTCAGTAAATCAAAGATATGATCGAAACCTGGTTGGATCTGTGCATGATTGCACTTTGAGAGCATCTGATACTTGAATTATAAAACACCCTTACCTTCTAGAATTGAACAGTCAAACTTTGGGCTTGCTTGTTAAACTTAATATGCTTGACTTATTGATTAGCCGTTATGTAGAGTTTGTTTTTAGCTCGTAACACCCAAAATGAAGTTAACTTGTAAAGAATGTTAAGTTCCAATTAGGGGCTATGGTTGTCAAGAAAGAAAAGAAATAAAAATAAGATATTGAATGCCCAATAAGAAAAAGATGTTATGGAGTTGAACGATTAAATTCAAAGGAAATATGGGATAATTTCTCCCCCTAAAATTCGTATGGGGAGTTAGAGTGAGATTCTAATCCCGTGAGCTAACATTGTCATGGAGAATCATAATCAAACTTTCTTTCCACTATGTTTTCCCTGAAAAAGCGAAACCCCAATAATTTTAGCAGAGAAGCAACACGACTTTGGTGTTCTTGAAGCAAGAACAAGTCCAAAGGACAACAACAAGGCCTAAGCAATAAATCTGAAAGTTGAAAGTATGAATTCCGTGTTAAACTCAAGTTTTATTGATCATACAATAGTCTAGTATGTTAAGATACGCTTTGGTGATGTATTTACGGTCAGTCTAAGGAATTAAAGCCATTGATTTGAGAAAGAAAGCAACATAAATGTTGTTGGATTGAATTAGTAAGTAAATGTGCGAATTTGATGCATGTGCCGAGTGGATTCGTTGTTTAAAAGTGTTTTTGAGTAGGTTTGTATGTTATCATTGTTGTTATGCAAATAGAATGGTTTAATTTGGTATAAGGTTTAAATATTCTGACATTGTAATGGCTAAACAGTCAATTGTCAAACCTAAAGTCATGACCGTACAGATTTTTGGTTTGCAATTGGCATATACGACCGTGTGTCTTTCGTGCTTTGCCTTGGCATGGTTGTGTGGATTATAACATTGTCATGTGAGTTTGCTTCCCGACTTTGCACGATTTTGTGAGGTACAATGCAACTTTCGTACAATCGTATGAGCCACATTAATTCTCAATATAATGAGTCTGTTTGCAATTTGATTCAGACATGCTTGATGTATTGGTTAATATTTGATATAGTAAGCCTAACATGCATATGTAGGTGATCATATCTTTACCAGATCGATGTTTAGTTAGTTTCACATTTAAACTTACACAATTTTGTGAGTCTTCATGTGACTTACAGTATGAGATACATGGTTAATATGGTTTAAAAAAAATATTGCATGTTATGTGTTACATGTTGTTTAACTGATTTTAGCATGATAACATTATATATAACGTATATAATGTTATCATGAAATCATCTTTTAGTATGTGTTGGAAACACAAATCGAGACTTTTGTACAGTTTTAGAATAAAACTGTTGGTCCCAAAAGGGTCTACAAGAATACTAAACAG